AGCAAACCCACTCCAAGATGACCTGACAGAGCGCAGGGAAAGAGGCCTGCCCCGCCAGGCCCGAACTCCCTGAAGGGGGGTGGGGGCAACGCAAAGCCACCGGAGGCCGCGCAAAACGATCTGAAACGCCCACGAATCGTGGGACCAGGCTTGAGTGAACAGCACAAGCCTCCCCCCATCGCCCCATCAATGGGGCGAACCGCGAAAAGGCTGGCGCCCCTTACAAGACCCAGAACCTCACACAGAGCGAACACCGTCCTGACCGGATGAAGGCGGGTCCGAAGGAGGAGCTGAACCCGAACCCAACACTAGTGACCTACCACGACAAGAGGAACCCCGAGCCTTGGCATGACTTTTGGGAAGGCCCACCACGGGACCCCTAGAGAACCAGCAAGTCCGACATAGGATGGCAAGAAGCCGAAGCAGCCTGAATATACTGCGCAACGGCTGAAGCCTCAAACAGGAGAGGACAAAAGGGCGAAGACATCCTAAGAGCCAAGGCCCAAACGGATTCCACAGAAGAGGCAAGCACCGCCTGCTGACATGCGAGCCAGGAAGCATAAAACAGCGCAACCATATCCCGCAAGATCGGCGCAAAAAGCTTCAGCAAGGCAGCCAACGAGCGAGCCGCCAAGGCCAATGCGCCAGAACCAGGAACAGCCCCAAGCGCCCCCACAACTTCTGTGAGCCAGTCCGAAGACAGCTCGAGGAGGGAAAAGAAACGCAAGGCCGAAGCCAAAAGGCCCCGGGCACGCAAGTCTTCAGCCACCAGCGCCGCTGAAAGGGAGGGAACCTGCACATGGAGCTGAATGACACCAACATCCCGGGGAAGGGCAGGAGCCAATAAGCACTCATTGAGGTGCTCTAGGTCACCCCCCAGGAAAACCTGCAGCACTGTCGAAGCCTCCCGCCACTCAAGCATGCGGGAACAACAGAAGGAGTGCCAGGCCTCCAAGATAAAGACAGGACTGTCCGCCAGCCAGGACGACTCCGGAACCTCGTAACGGAGCCAGAAAGGGAACGAAGTCCCAAACCTGAAAGCTGAGGGATCCATTGCCGACGCTTAATCCGGGTCACGCAGGAGGTTTGCCGCAAGGGCTGCCCGCACTGCAGCAGGCTGGATGCGATAAGCCGAAAACTTCCGGAAAGACGGAACCGAAGCACCCGGGGGAACACGGAACCAAACCAGGGAAGGGGCAGACACCAAATCCAACTCGTACGCAGAGGGGGAAAAGAAAACCCCACTCCTTGTAACAGTAAGCCCCGCTCAGAGGGCAGAAAAACCCAGGCAGGGTCCAGCGGGGCTAAAGGCTTCCCATGTCAGCCCCTCTCCAGCCCCAAGGTCCTCCTCCACTGGACCCGGGGCCCAAGTCCTCCCCCCCAAGTCCTCCCCCCCGACCTCACCAGACAAGGCCAGCGCAGCCGTAGAAGCCGGACAGAAGGGGGGCCCACTGATCAGACCCAGAGGCTTCGGCCGGGGGAGTAAACTCGAATGCCTCCATCGCCACACCGGAAGGGGCATCCCCCGAGGCTGCCCGAGTCTCGAGACCAACTAACCCCTGCTCCGACTCCAAAACCCTCAGAAGTTTGGGGCCGGAAGCAGGGGAGGGGGACCAGAATGAGGGGAAGGATGAGGAGGTGCGAACTGAACCAGGGTCAAGACGACCCCCCACTCCCAAGTCCGGGTCCCTATAAGCAAATCGTGGCAGCTGCGGGGCATCCGGGTGAGCAACCAATGGAGCGCGTTGCAACAAACGAAACTTAGAACGCAACGTCTGCGCAGCCTAAACCCGAAGAAGATCATTCGCAGATTGGATAAATTGGGTCACAAGAAAGCAGCAAAACTTGCAGGACTCAGGGTCGAAAGTGTCACCGATCCAACAGGCAGCATGACGGAGGCAAAAACCATAAGGTCACTCTGAGACAAGGGCACTGAACAACCCTCAAACTCGCATGAAGCGAGGTGGGGACTCCGGGGTCGCATCCATCGGACCCATGCATTCCCAGGGAAATTCCCAAGGTCCTGAGCGTTTACTATAAGAGGACTCGCGCTCAGGTAAACCCAGGCAGGGTACTGCTAACTGGCGCCCAAAACTACCAAACAAACTGTCTACAGAGCCGGTCGGCCGAGCGGACAGCACACTGGACTTGTGATCCTGTGGTCCTGGGTACGATCCCGGGCACCGGCAAGAAACAATGGGCAGAGTTTCTTTCACCCTATGCCCCTGTTACCTAGCAGTAAAATAGGTACCTGGGTGTTAGTCAGCTGTCACAGGCTGCTTCCTGGGGGTGGAGGCCTGGTCGAGGACCAGGCCGCCGGGACACTAAAGCCCCGAAATCATCTCAAGATAACCTGAAAGCTGAACCCAGGGATGTGTATGCTCATGAGGACCTAGCAGGGGGCTCCACCAAGTATCAGGATGAGGCCAAACACCAGTGGCAAGTAGGGCAGAACCCCCTACCAAGGCAAAAAGAAAAAGAAAAACAAAACCCTGCAAGAGGACAACGTACCCCAAGGAACATAGCCGGCCGCTGTGATTGATGACAACAAGCTGCACAGCACCCTATGCCCCTTACCAGTGCAAAACTGCTTCCTACCGTAAGGTAAACTAGGAAAACAAAACACCCAAGTACACAAAGGGCGGCTGAAAAACCGAGCAGTTAAACAGACCCACAGAGGCAGATCCCACGGAACCTGTGGAAGGTAACCCCAAGCTCCAAGGGCAGTACTTACAGGGCACCTAGGGAAGGGAACCCACCACGCATGCAGCCCGAGTACTGAAGAGTAACTCCTGGCTCTCGCACCCCTGGAGAACAGCTGCCACACACAAGGCACAGCGCCGTAAAAGTCTGGAGCCAGAGCACACAACCGCTGCCTATAGCATCAGCCTCAAGAACTGGGGTGTGGATCGCCAGCGCGATAGGTCTGGGGCTTCCCCTTCCCCTTCCCAGGGAGGGGGGAGCTGCACAGACGGCGGCGCGGCAACGGGTGATGTCACACTAGTTTGCTCGTTTTTGTTTTGGGGAATTCTATCCACTTGTTCGGCTTTTGGTAGCAATATTTTCACCAGAATAGGGGTTTGTTTTGGGATGCTTACCTTTCTGGGTGCCTGACCCGGTCAATGGTAGACATAGAATGCTTCCAACCACACGGGGGCTTCTATAGGCCATTGCTCCCCTTGCCTCTCTGAAGGGGCCAGGTTCTGGCCGTGGTCCCTGGTAGGCCCAAAGAACTCCATACACATGACTGATGCCAAAGTCTGACATTAGCGTATCAGCCTGGATAGTTCCGGGGAGCTGTAGGGGCTCCCCCCAGAAAAAAAACAAAGAAAAGCACAATTAATTGTAGAGGGATGCTGGTCTTGCATCCGATACAATAACAACACTGTCGTCGGAAGGCATCGAGAATCCCCGTGGGAAGGCTAGGAAGTACCATGTTGTTTTCTCGTTAATCGAGTGGAAGCTCGTCAATCGAGACAAATTTTCTGCGAGTAGCTCACTAGTTACCTGAAATGCTCGTAGATGGGGCTGCTTGTCACACAAGGTTCCTCTGTATATTTAAGCTGTGTACATGCTCCCCCTGTAGTAGGCTGTTGATGTGCCTTGTAGTTGCTTTCCCTAGTGTGGAGTATCTCTGAACACGCAGTTGTTCTGTTTTAAATAAATGCAATATCCGTAGTACTAGCAAATGTCTTGTGTTACAAAAACCTCTTGAATTTGTATTGGGAGTGGGGAATATTGTGATTAACATAACTATTTTAAGTTCCCAGTTAAGTGGGACAGTATTTAAAGCCCTTTTCAAGAGAAATCTATGTTTTATGAAATTATCACACTAATGTTAATAGTCCTCTGTAAAGTAACTGTAAATCCCAGAAATAATCCTTGTAGAGTAACTTTGAGCGCATTAAATAAAGCCCATTTGTAAAAAATAGACAAAGATGTGATTATTGTCCCAAACTAGGCTAAGATAACTTGATCTTTATTTCATTATTATTTATTGATCATTCATTTCCTCCTATTATTTCTAAGGAGTAAGGACTTGTTTCGATAGTCTGTAATCTAGGATGCGGCTGAGATGCGCGTGCCCTTGCAGAGCTCTTGTGCATCTGTTTGGCTCAAGTGTTTTCCGTCCTCAGTGGTTTCATTCCCTGACTAAGTGGCCATCAGGATGCTTGCATTTGGAACCTGGACTTTATGTAGATTCTCATGTCTTCTTTTCAGTTTGGCTGCTGCTCCTGGTTCTTCTGAGCTAGGACCGTTTGCTGGCAGATGTTTTTATCTTGGTGACTTGGCCGTGGTTCCAGCTCTATTTCTGGGTCTTAGTCATTGCCATGAGTGGATTCACTGGTGGGATTTTGGCTTCCCAGTACTGCTCTTCCCTTTCTTCAGGGGTTCCTGGCTTCTGCTGTCCTCTGCCCCTGGAGTGTCTCACTTTAGTTTTCCTTCCTGCTGAGATGGCAACAGGGAGCCACTGAGTGGCCCCAGCCTGAACACCAGCATTGAATGTAATGAGTCCTTATGGGAAGTCCTCAGTTACTTCTATAGTAGCTTCATTGGCAAAGCCCCCAGTGGAACCACCTGGTGGTGGGGAAGTGAACTAGCGGATGAATGACCTAACAACTTTGTGTCTTGCTTTCCAATTTGTTTAGTTTCACCCTTGCTATTGTCTGTTTTGTGTGTCTGTACCTTTCTGGTAGCTGGTATCTCAGTGAGGGTGATCATGGATCCCCTGCTCTTTGGGATCTAAAAAGCTAAAACCTAGAGAGCCCCTGAGAGAGGGGCTAGGTTTTAGCCTCTGGTAGGCTTTTAAGGACTTGCAAAGGCCTATAGCAATTTGATATGGGAGGAGTTAACCAGCGGGACTACTAACAGGAAGCCACCAAGGACCCAACATAAAAAGGCATTTATTACATTCAATGCTGGTTTTTTAACATGTTAATTTTTCATTAAAGTTTCTTCCATGTCTCCCTTATTACAAACATTTGTGTTGATTGTTGCAGCGAGTAGTCACACAGGAGACATAAGTGGTCCAGCAGTAGAAGCAAGTGGTCCAACAGTAGAAGCAAGTGGTCCTGCAGTAAATGTCAGTATTGATGAGTACCCGGGTGTGAGAGGCGTCACCACAGCCAGGGACGCCATGAGGAACCTCAGTGAAGAAGACAAGAACAAAATTGCTGCGCAGGTTTGTTGCTTTCTGTTAAGTAATTGTTATTGTTTTAGACAAGGTGTTTACAGTAATGAAGCAAGAAAGGTAGCGACTCCCTGCCACCATCTGGCTGCCTCCCTCCCTGCCACCACCTGGCTGTCTCCCTGCCACCACCTGGTTATATCTTCCCTGCCACCACCTGGCTGCCTCTTTCCCAGCCACCATCTGCCTGCTCTGATGTGATACACTTGCCTCTTATAATCAGTATGTGTTATTTCCATTTTAATAGGTTGAAAACTTCCGCTTGGAGAAGGTGAAGTTTGACCAGGAAGTTGCTAAATGGGATGACACTGGCAATGACGTAATTGCCTTAGCAAAATATATGTGCAGGATCATGATGGAGATGACTGACTTTACAAGGTCAGTGAGCGTCGTAATAGAGGAATATGAATGGCGTTTATAATATTTTAGAAATGTCAATGTCGTGGAAATAATATTAAAGATTAAATACTAATTAAATTTAACACCATAACATTCCCTTCCATTTTATAACACTGTAAAATAATGTTTCACCTATTTTAATTTCAGAGGTCGTGGTCCCCTGAAAACTACCATGGATGTTATTCATGCCGCAAAGAAAATCTCTGAAGCAGGAACCAAGCTGGATAAGCTGTCTAAAGAGATCGCTGATCAGTGTCCAGAGTCAAGAACTAAGGATGACATGCTGGCTTATCTGGACCGTATTGCTCTATATTGCCACCAGATGAACATCACCTCCAAGGTCAAGGCAGATGTGCAAAATATCTCTGGTGAACTCATTGTATCTGGGGTACGTAATAAATATCTCTGGTGAACTCATTGTATCTGGGGTACGTAATAAATATCTCTGGTGAACTCATTGTATCTGGGGTACGTAATAAATATCTCTGGTGAACTCATTGTATCTGGGGTACGTAATAAATATCTCTGGTGAACTCATTGTATCTGGGGTACGTAATAAATATCTCTGGTGAACTCATTGTATCTGGGGTACGTAATAAATATCTCTGGTGAACTCATTGTATCTGGGGTACGTAATAAATATCTCTGGTGAACTCATTGTATCTGGGGTACGTAATAAATATCTCAGTGAAGCAGTGAATGTGAGAGGAGGGAGGTGGGTAGTGAATGTGAGAGGAGGGAGGTGGGCAACACAACTTCAAGGAATTCTAAAAGGATGCTATACTTAGGACAAGTGAATATATATTTGATTAGTTAATTCGCCCAAATCTTCAGTACAGAAATATGTACAAGTTATTACTTACCTTTACTGATGACTCCTGTTGGCATATGGAAGACGGTGAGGAAGGGAGGGAGGAGGAGAGGTGTTATGGTTTGGAAGGGGAGTCCCCTTCCAAACCATAACATCAGGCAGTGATGACTTTTCTGGGGTACTCTCTGGCACGTTTTGCCTGCATACCACTAAGACCTGCTTGTGACTCATTGCTTGCTTGTCTTACTAAGAATCTGTCTAAAGACACGTGTTTTTCCCTACATTTTAACACTTGTCTGTAGTAAGACATCACATTGTCATTTAAAAGGTCAATGCAATGGCCTGCTACAGCTTTATCTGGGTGAGTTTTTTCAACAAAACTTTGCAGTTTTTCCCATACTCATAGGTATAGCATATTATTCAAAACTGGCGCTTGGTGACGTGGGTACGTAATGGATGCCTGAGGACTCCAGTGATTGTCCGCCATTTTGAAAAAAATTCCCAGCATGCCTCAAAGCCATGGGGACCCTCAGTTCCAAGGAAGCAACCATGTCTGACACATCGTCTACAAGCTATGGTCCAGGAAAATGACTCTTGGAGGAAGAATTCCACACAGAAATCACAATAGCATGATGCATCAAATGAACAAATCCACAAGGGCTGTGACAAGGATTCAAACCTACGTCCAGGAGCATCAGTCGATTAAGGCAGCGTCTGAGATGCTCCCGGACGTAGGTTCAAATCCTTGTCACAGACCTTGTGGATTTGTTCACGCGACATATTGTATGATGATGGAGCGATGGATGATGATGTAGACTACAGTCCAGAAAAAGAATGAACACAGAGGTCTGACACGAGTGAGGGAGAGAATGAGGTGGAAGATGTCGCGATTGCATACAGTACACGTGTCTCACCCGCCTGCCTCGCCGCCCTGGGTCAACACTGCTAGAGTCACCACCACCATGTGTAATTACCTAAGTGTAGTTACAGGATGAGAGCTATGCTCGTGGTGTCCCGTCTACCTAGCACTCTTTGTCATATAATGCTTTAACCCTTAAATGGCGCATGGCTATATACCATTTGACACCCACTGGTGCATACAAAAAAAAAAAAAAAAACTTCCTAACCTGTTAATTTGTGTTCACTGATCATGGGAAAAATAATAAAAAAAATCGTAAGTGGCATATATTGCCCGCTATAGGGCGGGGAAGTCTGGCAAAAGACAGGCGCTGACTCAGCGTGCGTCCCAGGCGATCTGTTGATCACCAGTTGTCAGGCCAGAGCTGCCACAAAAAGATAATTACCTAATTATTTCAATGTCTCTGATTGATTTTTCGTAGTTTTTTTGCTGTAATATTATTCAATAGTGTGTAGTAGTGTGATATATTTATATAATAAAATGAGTGAATCAACGCTGTACTCAAAAATATGGTGTGCATATTGTTGATTCAATTATGTTCATCAAACAGTGAACAAATACTTTGTCGGTTATTACACTATATACACAGGTTATATATAAGTATCTGCATGTTTTGTTCACCATAACGAACCACTAAGTTGCTATTATGAGTCAAAAAGTAACGAGGCGTGACCGCCATGTACCAGCCAGCCACTCACGCCCTCCCTCAAGTCATTTGACTCGCCCACATTCTCCTCCCATAATACTGTTTTTGCTTTTATTCACTATATACAGACGCTATATATAAGTATCTACATTTGTGTTCACCATAACGAACCACTAAGTTGGTATGCTGAGTGGCAGTGGCAGCCCGCCACTGGCTGCCACTCCCTCCCTCCCTCACCTCACCTGACTTGCCACCATTCTCCACCCACCATACTGTTTTTGCTTTTATATACAGACGTTATATATAAGTATTTACATGTTTTGTTCACCATAACTGTACATCTAAGCTTGTATGGTGAGTAAAGGCACAAAGACCTAGGACCTCACACAGTCAGCTGATGGCTGCCGCCCTCAAGGCCAGACGCACTAATATGTCTCCTCCAACAATACTGTTTGTGGTGTTATTACGCTATATACACACATTATAAATATCTACCTGTTTTATTCACTATACTTGTACAAGTAAACTGGTATGGTGCCCAAAGACCATCGTGGTAACCAGTAAACATGATAAATCGTGCAGACAATGCCACCGCCCTCACCAAAATGGCGGCTCCCAACCTACTCCTCTTGCTGTTTATACCCTCTATACACACGTTATATATAAGTATCTACATTTGTGTTCACCATAACGAACCACTAAGCTGGTATGGTGAGTGCAGTCAATAAAAGGTGGCCACACACAGTCAGAAGACATCGCCACCACCCTCCCTCCCACAGCATTACTCCTCCCTCCATGGCGCACAGCGTTAAATATCACCACAATCTTGCTATTATCAGAACCCTGGTCAGTTTTATCACAGTCTGGGGTCTTCTGTAATAATATCATTGCTACATAATAGCATTAACAAGTATATTATGGCATTTTTAGGCGATGCTGTGGTCACAAGCTGAACAGCAGTGCTGTGAGCTCATGCTGCGTGCATCAGGCTTAGTAGCTCACTCAATACTTAGGCCCCTAACACCTGGGAATTTGGCCCACGATTTTTTTTTAAAATGGCGTCTGTTTACAAGAGCCCTGATGAAGGTGTGGTGAACCCTGTGTATCCGCGGGCTGTTTAAATCTTACCTAGTACTCCAAAGCATCACATGATGCGATGCGCAATTTAAGGGTTAAACAATTAGGCGGGTTGTATTCCAGGAAATATTAGGATTGAGGACTTGCCCGAAATGCTATGCATGTTAGTGGCTGTACATGAATGAAAGAACTCTTGTGTATATATAAATAAATAAATACATAAATTAATAAATAAATAAATGTAGGTTCAAGTAATTTTATTATATACAGGACTGTAATTTTCAACTGTATTACAATCTAATTATGCTATTTTACTTGTACTGTATAGTATTATTTTCTTCCCTCAATATAGATTTTCCCTCTTTTTCAGTTGGATTCTGCCACATCATTAATTCAAGCAGCCAAGAATCTGATGAATGCTGTGGTGTTGACAGTGAAGTGTTCGTATGTAGCTTCAACCAAGTATACCCGCCAGGGAACCATTGCTGTGAGTAACGTTTCTTATTATTTTGTATTATATTTTTATTTTATTTTATTTTTTAGAAAAAAAAAATTTTGGTCAGTTTTGGCCAATTGGCTAAAAACTTTGGCCAAATGCCAAATGAGGCATTTGGCCTCATTCCCAAATGAGGCCTTGGGAATATGACCTAATTTAAAATATTTTCTTCAAATTTCGTCTCTGTTAATGTAACAATATCTGGGACTTTGAGCTGAATTATATCCTTTAACTCCAATATTTTCGATCTCGCTCCATCTATGTTGGTGTATACTATTTTCAGGAACATGTTCCCCTTCTCTTTATTCTTTACACCCCCCTTCCTTTAATAATTTTGTTGCTTTGTCTTTATGTACCATTTCACAAGCTTTAGATACTATTTACTACAGTAACCAGTTCTTTTCTAATTGCTTGCCTAAGATCCGCTTCTTGTTTGTCATTTCTGGTTTTGACTTCCAAATACACTTCCTTGATTGTCTCTTTCTCTTTTGCAACTTGCGCATACGTCTCTTTTATTTCTTCTTTATACTTTTCTAGTATACTAATCTTGATCTTGTATAAAAAAAAACTAAAATTTTACACAACATTGTGCTAACTTTGGATTTATATAAACAAGTAAATATATATTGCCTATGTTTATAGGGCTGGAATCATAAATAAGATCTACATTCCTACATTGTATTTATTGGGCTGTAACTATGAGAATGTGGTTTTTCACAGCATAACCCTTATTTGAGGCATGAGGAAGTTGGCAATGTATGAGCAGCATATGAGTGATACCTAGTAGATGTAAGATAGAGAGGCAGGGCATTAGAGAAGCTTAACCCTTAGGCCACGATGGTCCTTTTGACCTTCAACACCCACAGGCACAACAACAACAAAAATTCAAAAAATTCTTTCATCTTATAAAAGTGTTCATTTGTGTTCCCTGATCATGTGAAAAAAAAAATCGTAGGTGGCATATTTTGGCCGTAATAGGGCGGGGAAGTCTGGCAAAAGAGAGGCGTTGACAGAGCAAGCACCAGACGAGGTCTGCTCCACCTCAGCTGTCAGGCGGGAGTTACCACAAAGATATTACCTAATTATTTCAATGTCTCTGATTGATTTTTTTTTTTTTTGCAGTAATATTATTCAATAGTGTGTATTGTGATATATTTATATAGTAAAATATGCAAACCATCGCTGTACTCGATTATGGTGTGCATATTAGTGATTCAATTATTATGTTCATAAAACAATAAACAAATAGTTTTGCCGTTATTACACTATATACACAGGTTATATATAAGTATCAGCATGTTTTGTTCACCATAACAAACCACTAAGTTGGTACTGTGAGTCAAAAAGCAACGAGGAATGGCCACCACTCACCAGCCAGCCACCCACTCGCCACCACTCCCTCCCTCACCTCCTCACTTGCCAACATACTCCTCCCACCACTGTTTTTGCTTTTATTCACTACATACAGACATTATATATAAGTATCTACATGTTTTGTTCACCATAACTATACATCTAAGCTTGTATGGTGAGTTCAGGCAATAAGAGACGTAGCTACACACACAGTCAGCAAGTGGCTGCCGCCCTCACTGGTTCAAGGCCAAACGCACTAATATTTCTCTTCCAACAATACTGTGGTGTTATTACATTATATACACACACACATTATATATAAGTATCTACATGTTTTATTCACCATACCTGTACAAATAAGCTGGTATGGTGCCCAAAGACCATAGTGGCCACCAGTACACAAAATGACATGTTATGCAGACGACGCACCTCCCTCACCAAAATGGTGGCTCCCAACATACTCCTATTGCTGTTATTACACTCTATACACACATTATATATAAGTATCTACATTTGTGTTCACCATAGCGAACCACTAAGCTGGTATGGTAAGTCCAGTCAATAAAAGGTGGCCCACATACAGTCAGAAGACGACGCCACCACCCTCCCTCCCTCAGCATTACTCCTCCCACCATGGAGTACAGGGCTAAATATCTCCACAGTCCTGCTATTATCAGAATCCTGGTCAGTTTTATCACAGTGAAGGGTCTTCTGTAATACTATCGTCGCTAAATAATAGCATGTACATATATATTTTGACATTTTTAGGCAATGCTGTGGTCACAAGCTGAACAGCAGTGCTGTGAGCTCATGTTGTGTGTGCCAGCCTTGGTGGCTCACGTGGCTCACTCAATACTGAGGTTCTCACACCCGGAAATGTTGCCCACGATTTTTTTTTTCTAGGTGGCGTCTGATAACTCTCGGTCGTGGCTGGACTATAGCTGCCCCTATCCCTAGTGGGACATAAATCGTGTGCTAAAGCCTCAGTCATCTATATATGTATTGCACGGTTTCGGTAAAGTTACTCCCATCGTCTATATATATATTGCGTGGTCTAAGGGTTAAGGGAGTGGTCATCTAGTTGTAAGGTCTGTCAGGCCAACACTGTAGTACTCTCAATACTAATGAATACTGTACATAGTGTTCAATAAACTGCTAAGCAAGTTAGTTTTAGGTTTAAGATCTTCACATCATGCACTTTGTAGCCTATTCAGAATTTGTTGTTTTAATAAAGAGCCTAATTAGGAAAAGAATACCATTATACATTGATAATCATAATGGCCAGTGTTATCTTTTTCAGTCCCCCATTGTTGTTTGGAAGATGAAGGCTCCTGAGAAGAAGCCATTAGTGCGACAAGAGATAACAGAGTTGAAAGCTGCAGTCCGTAAAGGCAGTCAGAAGAAGCATGTCTCTGCCTTCAAAGTTCTTGGAGAGTTTCAAAGTCCAACAGATGCAATTTAGAGCATCTTTTTTTATCTATAGATTTTTTAACTTTTAAGTGTGGATTGTAAATTGTCTGAGAAATTAAATTTAAAGCTGGTGCAAGGCCCCCCTCCAGTGTCACCTTGTTGATATGAGGGGGCACACGTACAACTCCCTGGAGTCGGTGAGGGTTGCTGTATCTCCTCCTCCTATCCCTTTCCAAGCATTGTACATGCTAAGGTACACACCCATAGGGATCTTGTTTGGGTCAACAGACCACCCACTGGAGGGGCCCACCCATGAGGGGTGGTTAGGTATCCAGGCTGGGGCGAAAGGAAGAAAGAGGTCTTTGCACCTATGTGGGAGAATGTACAATGCAGTAGGACGCCTTTTGTTAAAAAAGAGGGAGCACCATTTGGAACGACGCACCCCCTTCCTGCACTGGCCAATGCTCGGCCTCCCTAGCTACCCTGTTAAGTGGTAGCCCTTGGCTCCGAGACCCAAACTTTTCAAATTAAAGCTGAATGGACACCAAACTGACTTCTCTATACAGGCTTGTGAGGTATGTGACCAGGATCCCCCCCTTCCCTCTTTCCCAGTTGGTTGGTGATGGAAGATCGGGCTACATTCAGCCCATACCAGGCTCCTTTGTTGTTGACTAATCTCTCTGACTTTGGTGGCAGGGTTCAACCCGTTCTCGCAAATTTAATAAGTCAATATTGACTTATTAAATATGTGCATAGGTGACATACTTAACATAATAGATACCCTTATCCTCTCTGTTTCCCAATAAGATGCTTATCCCACTTTGGTGGTGTTTTCTATGAATCAGGGTTGAGAGCCAACCCCCAGAGGTGACCACCTCATCATCTGGAGTGGCTCCATCTCTCGTTGTGATACAGTAACTGAGCATTTTATCCTTTCCTCTTCATACTGGGAAAGCTCGGCATCATAACCCCTGCTCTCGAATATGATGGATTCCTCCCTACTCATCTTATGTTCCAAGATTTGTTTGGTCCTGCCACGTGGAGTAAGCATTTTGATCTTTATCACATGTATCATACTTGTCTTGATGATTTACACATCCATAAACACCTGGTTGATTTAGTTGATACCTACAGTATGTCACTTTTAACCCTTAGACCGCGCAATACATACATATATGATTTGACAAAATAATTTAACACAAGTTTTTAAAACTTGGACAAATACTTCCCAATTTTTTTTGCATAATCAACTAGGCAAATGCTCCAACTTTGTCTAAATGATCACAGCGTAACTTGAAAACCAAGAGAACCAAAATTAATTGTAAAATTTAATATTGAAAACTTCAGATTTTCAATTCAGAATAAAAAATATGAACCATCATTAATTGTTCATTTAATGTTATTACTTTCTCAAAATATCATATGATCTTCATTTTTATCAAATTAGAATATAGGTTTTCAGTATAGTTTACTGTAAAAAAATCGTCAATAGGCATTTGAAATTGAAATACGTGGCAAATTTAGACCAAAAAAAATTATGACTCCAAATGTATAAAGTTTATGAAAAATCCATTCTGAAGGGATTGTAGAACAGACAGCTGAGTACACAATGTCAAAATAGTGAGAGTCAGTTAATAACTGGAATTTTAGAAGCCACTCAAAGTTGAAACTCTGGTTTCAGAGATAATTGAAGTTATCAACAATGAATAAAGGTAGTTTTAATTCATTAATTTAATTGTATGTTTTAATAAACATTGTTTGGCATTCGTACTCGAATATGTGAAAGTTGTAGGTCAATATGTGTTGAAATGAAGTCAAGAAAAAATAACCCCCAAAAACACAAAATATAGAGATAATTATATTGATTTAGGGGGATATATTTAGGGTATACTTTATATAAGTGAAAAAGCTCTAATATTGTCCCTAATCATCAAAACAACCTAAAGAGACAAAGAAAATAGTCTGAAATAAAAAAAAATCAGCCCCAAAAAATTAAAAAGTCCCAAGTTTTGCGAGTTGTGACTGATTTATTTGTTGACCAATTTCATTCTATCTTTACATAGTTATGAAAACATATGCATTCTTAAGGATTTAAAGGTTCCAACAAAATCAGATAATAAACAAAGGAGAAAAAACTAAAATCTTAAAAAAAAAATTCGCCTAAAAAAATACAGTATATATTTTTGGGACATTGATGAAAGTAACATATATTAACATTGGACAATGTGTTTATATGATATATAACAAAATAGATCATATTAACATAGTTATTCATTATTATTTGTGTTATGTATTACTCAGCAATGATATAAAGGCACCAACTGCACATCCACTTTGTGGACACTTCTTACTACTATTGTTCATCTTTGTGCATCGGACAGGTGCTTACATCTCTTTATTCGTCTGATGTGGTTCTTAGAACACCATCACCACTTCTTCCCTTCTCAATTTGGTTTCCGCAAGTGCCGCAACACAACAGATGTCCTGGTGAACTTGGAGGTCTATATTCGTACTGCTTTTGCTGCAAAGACCTCCGTTGTTGCCGTCTTTTTTGACCTGGAAAAGGTTTGCGACACCACTTGGCAATATCATATTCTATCCCAACTTCATTCTTTTGGCTTTCATGATCATCTCCCTCTCTTTCTCCGCAACTTCCTCTCTCGTCGTTCCTTTCGGGTGAGGCTTGGTACCGCTCTCTCTGCCTCTTTTCAGCAATACGAAGGTGTGCCCCAGGGTAGTGTTCTGAGCACTACCCATTTTCTGGTTGCCCTCAATGGTCTTCTTTCCTCTCTTCTTTCAGATGTCTTCTCCGCTCTTTATGTCGACATCTTACCCTTTGCTGTCAGGGTGATGATTCGCCTCTCCTTCAGCGCCGGCTTCAACTTGCGATTAATGCCGTGTCGTCTTGGGGCACCAATCATGGCTTCAGGTTCTCTACATCCAAGACTTGTGCTATGACTTTTACTCAGAAGCGTGTCGTTCTTCGTCCTTCTTTGTCACTTTATGGTCACCCCATTGTGTACAAGGATTCCGCTAAGCTTTTGGGGTTGATTTTTGACTCTCGTTTGTCTTGGTCGCCCCATATCTCTTACCTCTGTGTTGAATGCTCTAAGGCCCTTACCCTCCTTTGGGTATTGTCCCATACTTCTTGGGGAGCGGATAGGCGCACTCTACTCGCTTTACATTCCTCTCTCGTCCTGTCTAAGCTCAATTATGGTTGCCCTGCTTAATCGTCTGCTTCTCCTTCTACTCTTCGCCGTCTTGATGCTTTGCACCATACTGGGTTGCGCCTCAGTTCTGGTGCCTTTCGTTCGACTCCCGTCCTCGGCTTGTATGTTGACACTGGCTTCCTATCTCTCCAGGACCGCTGTGATCACTACTGTCTTCGTTATCTTGCGCGATCCTTGCAACATCCTTCCTCTCGCCTCTGTCATGCTTTAACTTTTGCCCCTCCTGCGGTTCCTGTTCCTCTTCACCACCTCCCTCTTTCTGTGCGGTTATCTCGCTTACAGGATTCTCTTTCTGTTCGTATTTCTAATATTTCTCCTCATGTTGTTCCTTCTTTGCCCCTGTGGAGAGTCCCCCTTCTACAGTTTTGTACATCCTTGACCCGCATCACTAAAGCTTTTACCCCTCCTACGGTTCTAAAATGCCTTTTCCTTGAGCACTTTTCTTCTCACTCCCGCTCCGTTTCCGTCTTCACTGATGGGTCTAAGTCTGTGGACGGTGTAGGCTACTCTGTTGTTTTTCCCGATTGCACTTATGTGTCGCTTACCTCCGGAGACTAGCATCTTCACAGAACTTTATGCTATTCTCTATGCTCTTCGTCTCCTGCTTTCTCATTGTCAATCTTCCTTTGTAGTTGTTGTTGACTCTCGTAGTGCCCTCATGGCTCTCGGGTCCTTTAATCCGGTTCATCCAGTGGTTGTCGAGATCCAGCATTGGCTGTTTCTTGTTCACATTAAATTTAAGTTGGTTGAGTTTTGTTGGGTTCCCAGCCATATTGGCGTCTCTTTAATGCGCGTGCGGATGCTACCGTCAGGGAAGCTGTCCGCTCTTGTCCCATCTCTCGTAAAGGTATTCTTTATTCTGACTTTTACCCGGTTATCCATTCCTCCATCCTTACCCGTTGGCAGACTTGTTGGTCGTTTGTTACTGGTAACAAACTGCTTGCTCTTAAGAGTTGTGTGTCCTCGTGGCTGTCCTACCACCATAACCAACGATGGGAAACAGCTCTGGCGAGGTTGCGTATTGGCCATACTCGCTTAACTCATGGTCACTTGATGGAGCGCCACCCTGCTCCTTATTGTCCTAGTTGCATTGACCCTCTTACGGTCGTGCATATTCTTGATGAATGTCCTGACTTCCGGGACGAGCGTGTCTTGTTTTCCGACCGTCCCCCGTGGTCGCTTGTCCCTCGATAGTATTCACCTATTCTTGGTGACTCGGATACTTTTGATATCATTCGCCTTATGCATTTCTGTTCTCGTATTGGCATCCTTGGTGATATTTAGCGCCCTCTGATTATCCAGCACTACATGGTACTACATAGCCTTCCTGGTTTGGTGCCTTCTTTTGATAATTACTTGCATCTTTTTATTACTGCATAATCCTTCAGTTCCACTTATTAGGAGCTGTTCTCCTTATCAGTAAAAAGTTCTTATTTTTCAAAAATTTGTCTGAAATCAATTTCTGAAAATATTTTGATGAAAGTTTCACAACACTGAAACCAATAAGTTGGAGATTTGTTTAACATTTTTAAGTTATGTTTACATAATTCAAATATTTTTTGCTACTATGACCCCCTATAATAGCTGAAATATGCGCAGTCTAAGGGTTAACCCCTATTCAGACTGGCACACGTGTGGTTGCAGCCCCTTCTCAGGAGGTAGCCGACTGCCTGGCAATGTTGTCTTGCATTGGTGAGACTTCAGTTCAGGTCTCTTAAAAATGCCCTAATGGTTAAATGCCATCTTTGGCACAGTCATTCTCCCGAACCATGTCGCAACTGGAGATAGGGAGCTGAAAGACTGCCATAAGGATATTAAATATATTCTTGAGGCCCCAAGACCTCCAGATCCTCCAGATTGATATGTTCACTTGTCTCCCTCAGGGTCGTCGTCGTCGGCCTCTTTGAGTAGTCAAAATCACTTTTCATGGTAGGGCCCTTCTGTCTTCCATTATTCTTGCAGGTGCCAGATGCTCCGTCCAGGAGTACAGTACATGCCTCTGCTCGAGTAGAGGAGCCTGACAAGATCAAACACATGACATAAGAGGTGGTCACTCAGTACTAAATGCCTTCTCCTTGCCTCTTCAATAGGTGTTGGAAATTTGGGCATGGTCCCTCGCAGTGCCCCCTTGTGTTGAGTCCCAGGTCATTCTAAGACCGAGTGCTCTTCTGCCCAGCCTCACTGCATCAATTGCGGTGATGTCCACCCTGCCTTCTCCCACACATGCATACACTACAAATTTGAGGAAGCCAGTCTCAATTTACAATATTGCAATCGGATTTCTTTCCTTGAGCCAAGACTCCAGGTTCGCCACCTGAACTCTTTCTCCGACAGGACTTTTGCTCATGTGCTGCATCACACTACTCCTCCCCACCTTTCTCAATTCCGCAACTGTTTCCAGCAATGCATCCTCCGAATAGACAGTACGTTTTAATACTAAA